CTCTCATAATGCTGTTTCCCCTGTGACTATGGCCACCAGTCTCACAGTCCAACCATGAGGGGAGGAGAGAGTGGGGTAAATGAATGACAGCGGCTTCAGGACCACCCAGTGTCTCCAGGGAGTTGGGGAGAGGGTGGAACTTGGGAAGAAGAGATCAGAGCCTATAGAAGGAATTAAGAGCCTAGAGGAAGCCAAGAGTCCTAGGATTACTGCTTCCTCGGTTAATCAAAAACTCTCATAGCAGAAAAACTTCAGAAGAGCTTTAGGAAGGCAGGTAGGAGATTCCCATGGAGGAGAAAGCTGAACTCAAAGGACTGACACTGGGCATTGCACAGAGTCAGAGACCCCCACAGTGATCACCCCCTCCACCAGCTTTCTGTTCTCTTTTTGGCTCAAGTGTCCTAGTAATACAAGGGCACCTCTCTTGAAGATGTGCATCCCATATCCCCAAATCTGGGTGACAATGCTGCCAAACAAGAGGAGAAAACATTCTTTACTAAAAACACCATCTTTCACAGGGCTCTTTTAAATAGTGAGCTCCCAGAACAGCATTTAGAGTATAATTCAATGTATATACTGTTTCAGGAATAAACACAACATGCAAATAGAGTCACCAATGAAACATGACACATCAACACTCTTCCAAGTGCTGCCCTATAATATTTACTCACTCAATTCTCACATCACACCAGGGGTGGGGCGGGGATGGAGGTACTACTAGTATTCCCATTTTATGAACAAGTAAATTGAGGCGTGGAGAGGATAAGCAACTTGTTTAAAAGCATGTGGCTAGGAAGTAGTAAAACCAAGATTCAAACCCAGGCAGTCTGACTCCGGAGGCTGCACTCAATCGTCGGGCTATACTAGTTACCTTCCCCCGGGGTATTTGTGCTCAGTACCTGGCTTCCTGCCCTGGCAGAGAAAGAAGACCCTGATCATAAAGGTGCACCAACCCCAGTCCCCAGTATCACATCCAAACAAGCTGCCTCTGTTGCAGCCCAAACCCCAGCGAGCCTCATCAGTGTTAGGTGAAAAGAGACGATCATCGTTAATCATGAGACTGACAAAGGCATGACATCAAGGTTGAGACTCTAGGGTAAACTTTGAACATGAGATGATTCCAGGTCTCATGCTAGTTGGCTGTTTCCACCTGCTGATATATATAACCACTGAAGTGAGAAGAACTGACTGACAAGGTTCCAAAGGAACCTGGAAGCAGGGGAAAGAGTTAGCTTGCCTTGAGGTTCCCCCAAACATCTGATGACCAGTTGCCCAGGACCTTTTGGACCAGGCTATGCAGTCTTGCAGTCCATAGGATGCTTAGGCATACAGATGCATGGGGACAGGAAAGGGTACTTCATCTCTCTGCAAACCCACCTGCTGCCTCTGTCTAAAAGATTGCCATGGAAATGTTCCCATGAAACCTGTGCCCAGAGAAATGAACCTCCAGGGAAAATAGTTTGCAAAGTGTAAAGGCTAAACCCAAGAGCAGCATCCTCAAAAAACTTAACCCAAGAGATAAAGGGAAACTGTTAACAGTATCAGTCCCGAGTAATTTCTGCACCCTACCACTCCGCCTGTCCCACTGCGTGTACAGTAATGCTTCCTCTAACTTTCAACATCAATCCAGTGTGCAGATACCCCCAGGAGAGAGAGAAATTTGGTTAAAGAAAGCAGTAAGAAAATGCTGGGCTACACCATCTAGCCCCAAGGACAGACGTTTCACTGAATCTACGTGTTTCAGACAGGAAATTCTCCTGGTAGACTTTGTTTTAAATTCCCTTGTCAAAGAATTACTTCTCACTCCCACCAAGCTGCAAAGTCTAGTATTACAATTATATTCCTGAGATAAAATCCCAGCAGAGAGCAGCCCCTCCTCTTTCTCAGAACTCACAACATTTCTTCTCAGACATTCGGAGATTTGACTTGGTTTCATAGCTGTTGTTGTTCTGTTCTGAGGATAATGCAGAATTCCCAGACATGGCAGCTCTTGTTCAGGGGATGTCTGAAAAGGACAAAAGGGGTGTAAGGAAGGGAAGGAAGGAGACATCCCTCAAAACCCTAAAGAGGATCAGCAAGGTATAAGTGAAAGAACCCTAGGCCAAGAGTCAAGTCCAGCCCTCTTTCTCCCAGCTAACAGCTACATGCCCTAGGATAAAGTTATGACTGTCCCTGGCCCTCTGTTTCCCCATCTATAAAGACCTACACCAGAACCTTGCACGTATAATGCTGACATAGGAGTTTACATTCGCATAAATCATCTCCTTCAGTCCTTCCAATAATCCTGTAATAAAACACATTTGGCTACCATTATTACGTCTCCCCATTTCACAGACTGAAAAACTGAGGTTAATCAAATTAAGTTAGTTCCTGACCTCAGATTCCAGTTTAAGAATCTGGGGACAGTGGTGGCAGCAATTAGAGGTGGAGTGGCCTGCGAACAGATCAAGTCCATTATCATCAAGTAACTGCAGTCCAATGGTAGGATTCAGTCCTGACAAAAATGAGAAGTGGGAAAATCTCAAACATGTCTCCTGAAGGAAAAATTGTAACTGAACCCGGAGACAGCCCTATCACGTCATCATTTCTCCACTGGTGCTCTCATTCTCAAGCCCTTGTCCGCACCTTCTCCCCATCTGTGCCCTAGGAAGCAGCCTATGGAAGAAACACTGGGGAGCAAAGAGGCGGTAAATAGCTTCCCCAAGGTCACCTGCAGAGTGAGGGATAAGTCCTGACCTGAACTGGGGCAGGAGAGCCCAGAGTCCACTCAGCAAAACCTGACAAGGGACTCGTGAGGAAGGAAGGTCCTACTGTTTCAAGGACCTTGCACGGTTCTTCCACAGACCACACAAATCCTCTAACCGAGGCTTCAGCTGCGGCTCCGGGTCCCTAAACGTCCGCACTCTGGGCGATGCCCGGGGGCCCGCGCTTCCCCTAAACAACGAGGCTTCATCTTCCCCCACCTCATTAGGGTGCACGCAACCTCCCTCCTCTCTCCCGCCTAGATCCTACAAGGCGCTGTACAGCTGTCGCTCGCCCCAGGATCCCTCCTAAGAGCCCTTCCGGCTGTGGCCCCAGCACCTACCCGATAAAGCAGCAGACCGGAGGCAACCGACTGCGGCCGGGGTCCGGCACACCAGTCCCCGGCGAATCACGTGCCCCTGCCTGGCTCCGCCCACTCCCGCGCTTGTCCTCACCTGGGGAGAATCATCCACCAATCGAGCGCCCGCGGGCTCCAGGGGGCGGGGCTGAAATCGGAATCGCTGACGCTAGCGCCTAAAGGAGGCTGGAGCTGTGGAGGTTGGTTGCATCGTTGCTTGGCAACTAAAGGGCTGGGGGCGGGGTTTATAGAAAGCGTCACTTTCTCATACTCTCGCGAGAGAGAACTAGTAGCCGTCTAGAGAGGGTGTGACTTTTTGGTAACCGGAAAAAAACGTTGTGGAGATTAACGCTTTCCTCCCTGAATTCCAGCGGAACGTCGTTAGAGCCATAAATTGGAACGTTAAGCGTTAGAAGGTGCTTTGCTAGAGTAAACTATAACAGTACTTAAGCTGGTTACATCTTAGGGTGTTTGCATATTCTTCCCTTAGGTTAGGCACTGTAAACTAAGAAAATCAACTACTCTCACCACTGAACCAGGAGCTTCCCTAGACCCACGCACATACTGCAGTGGACTTACCACCTTACTCATTCTCCCTCCTACCACCCGCGCTGTACCGTCTGTTCTGGTCATCTTGAAGAACCAAAGAGGAAAATTGCGCCGGGAGAAAACTGGGTCATGAAAGGTGTGAAAAGACGCAGTTTCCATAGAACTTATTCAGAGGTAGAGGCTTTTACAGTGTAGACGAGTTTGCACGTTTCAAATGAACTGTTCACAGTTGCCCCCAGGCCCGTTTGATGCTTGATTCTGTTGAGAAACCTCCTCTACGCAGGGAAGACCTTGCTGCTCTAGATACAGGATAGAAAAAGAACAATGAGTATGAATTTCTTGGAAGAAAGAGAAATTTAGAGATATTTTTACTCCTCTTTCACCAGGGGATTAAATTCATCCTTTATAACAACGCAAATAGTATTTTCTCTTTGAAGCTTTTTACAACTCCCAGTATGTTATGGTTGCCCTCTCTGTGCCTGTACAACTGCTTTATCCATTCAGCAAGTTTTTACTGAGAATTTATTCGCGAAGCACAGTCCTTCATTCTAGGGATACAGGGCTGAAATCAGTCACATAATCTAGCATTATTAAGTTGCTGTGAACTTCAATGGTTATGTGTCCTTTCCACTCCACCCTCTCTCCCGATTACGTAAGTACTTTGCCATACTAAAGGCAGGAATGTAGTCGTCTTGGTATTTGTATACCTAGAGCCTGAACTGGAATCTGGATGACACACGTTAGTCCTCTTCATTCCTCTTCAGTATACTGCCACCACCTCCTGAATGTAGCAGTTGCCCTTGGCCCAGATGCTGACATCATACTGCGCTTTCTGAATGTGGCAAATGGAAGTTTTCAAGTTACAGTCTTACGGAGGTGGAAAGGCCAGTCGCCCGGCCCCCTTAACCTCAATGAGTCAATGTTTGCTGCAGCGGTGAGTCTAGTCACGAGTATCTGCTTGTTTCTGGCAGGTCCTTTGACTCACTGACCATTCTTGGCATTCGTTTGCGTTCCGAACTATGATTCTGTTTCTCCCGGTGTAATTTGGAAGCTTCAATTTAATAATTTCCGACCTAAATGCAAGGTTACATTCCAATGTATTCGATTCAGCAACTCCTTCCCCCGCCTTCTTCCCTTGAGCATATATGCTGCCGACGCAGAGGGCACCTCACTCGCTCTACAGGTAGCAAGACCAGTCGCACTACAGGAATACGAATAAATCTTCATCCTTTGCCTCCGGAAGCCGAGCGGCTGGGAATTGGTTGTCACTTTAAGACCGTGTTGAGATAGAAACTGCACCAGAATATCGCGAGAACTGTGACAGCCAGTGACTTCTCGCGATGTTTGGCCCGGCAAAGGGTGGCCATTTTGGAGTCCGTCCGGCGGCTGGTTTCCCCGGCGGCGTATGTCAGCCTGCTGCCGGGACCAAAACTGGCTCCGCGGGTGTCTGGCCTGTGGGCGGCTGGACCGACACGATGTGGCGGCTCCGCTGCAAGGCCAAGGATGGCACCCATGTCTTGCAGGGGTTGTGCAGCCGGACCCGGGTGCGGGAACTCCAGGGCCAAATTGCCGCCATCACCGGGATTGCTCCCGGCTCTCAGCGAATCCTCGTCGGATACCCGCCCGAGTGCCTGGATCTCAACAACGAGGATACAGTTCTGGGGGATTTGCCCATCCAGTCAGGTAAGGGAGCCGAGGCTGGGGCTAGGCAGAGTCCTGGGAGGACGCAGAGGGGCGTGGGGAAGAACAGAGATAGTCGGCGCAAGGTGGCTGTGGGGCGGCTGGGGGCTTTGAGGACAAGGCTAGGATAGGTTACAAAACAGAGAACTCTGACGGAGGCCGGGGCGAGTGTCCAGCAACGATTACTTGACTTTATCTATGGTTAGAAGAGACCGGGAGGGCCCAAGTTGTGTGAGAAGCCGAAGGCTTGGAGTCTCCTTTCCTCGGTCCGCTTTTTGGTCTGTTTGGAAAACATCTCATTCATTTTGTTTTCCCTCTGCGTCCACAAAACTATTTTAAAGGAGGGAGGGGGTCGCTTGTTTTTTCTGTCCTGATGGCTCTTTTCTCCTGTATCAGTGAGAAGAAAACAGCAGTTCTGAAGGATATAGGATACTTTTTTTTTTTTGCTTTCCTGGTTCATTTTTGCGATCACCCCCATTTATATTTTGACAGATGTACTTGTTTTAGAGTTTGCTTTGACACACCCACTAAGGCCCTTTGAAGTTCTAAACAACGGCAGTTATTTCTGTCCAGTATTAAAACTTGAACAGCAATACTGGTAATTAAAAGCTTTCCACTGTTGCATCAAGGATCTTGTAAACACTAAACAGGGTAGATACGTTAAGTTTCCGAAGGACGAGAACCCCCTAGTGGCCTAGTCTATGATAAACACCTTTTGGAAGATGTGTGCTTTTAAACTGCAGAGAGCAAGCATAAGAAAATTTTGTTCTTGAAATGTATTTTTTTAAGTGTATAACCCAGGCCCCTTTACTGAATTAGGTGCAACCCAAAGCATTTTTCTCTTTGTTCTGTTTTCATCTTTATGAAAATTCAGATGAAAAGCTGTATTTTCCCTAGTAACTCCAGCTTATACTTTAACTCCTTTGGTTTGTATTTTACAGACTTGGTTAGTGAACACTCAGTTTCAACTATAATTTTTCTGCAGTTCTGGATTTGTTTTTTTTTTTGACAGGCGACATGCTGATCGTTGAAGAAGACCAAACCAGGCCCAAAACGTCACCTACATTTACAAAACTTGGTGCTCCTAGCTACGTCAGGGAAACTTTGCCTGTGCTTACCAGAACGGCGGTCCCAGCAGACAACTCTTGCCTTTTTACCAGTGTGTACTATGTTGTTGAAGGAGGAGTTTTGAATCCAGCTTGTGCCCCTGAGATGAGACGTCTCATAGCACAGATTGTAGCAAGTGATCCAGTCTTGTACAGCGAGGCGATACTGGGAAAAACAAATCAAGAGTACTGTGACTGGATCAAAAGGGATGATACTTGGGGTGGGGCTATTGAGATATCAATTTTGTCTAAATTTTATCAATGCGAAATATGTGTGGTAGATACACAGACAGTAAGAATTGATCGTTTTGGGGAAGATGCAGGATATACCAAAAGGGTCCTGCTTATTTATGATGGAATCCACTACGATCCCCTTCAGCGTGTCTTCCCTGACCCAAACACCCCTCCTCTGACCATTTTCTCCTCTAATGATGATATTGTTCTTGTACAAGCACTGGAATTAGCAGATGAAGCTAGAAGCAAGAGACAGTTTACTGATGTCAACCGCTTCACCCTGAGATGCATGGTATGTCAGAAAGGATTAATTGGACAAGCAGAAGCAAGGGACCATGCCAAGGAGACAGGCCATACCAACTTTGGAGAAGTGTGATCCATGCATGATGAGGATTGAAGCCTACTACCTCACAGATCCAGAAGGCTCTGGGTTTTCCAATAAGCTATTTGTAACCCTAAAGAACAAAAGAACACGATGCTTGAACCATCCTTTTAACCTAAAACCACTAAGAAACTGAATTCCTTGTTAAGATTAAAATTAGTGTGCAAGTTTACAGATGTGTGTCTACAGTGGTGATACATGCCCTCTTTTTGCTGGGGTGACAGAACAGGTGGTCCTTGCTACCTACCTACTGACACGAACCTGAAGATTGAGTTGTAGTATTATAAACTAGCACCCGGCAGCATTCACTTGGAGAAGAAAGCAGCTTCCTATTTTGGGTAATGCAGAAGGCCTTGGGTGAGGCCACTGGACATAAACCACGGTGTCTCCAGTAATTGAGTCCTTTTAAAAACTCTGAGTTAGTAGTCTTTAAATTATGAATGGATTCCTCAAATGAAGATACTCAGAATTGTCAAAGCTGGTTTCATACTGCAGTTTGGTAGACTTTGTGAACGTGTACTTCACCAGCTACAAGTACAGAACAAGCAGTTTTCACAGGGGTGAGTCTAGCCCTTGAGAATGTTACCTAAAAGCAGGAGTTGGCAGTGCCCACATTAGGGCTTCTAGTGTATAAAAGTAGAATGTAAGAGGGAAAAGGTGCCTGAGCAGCTTACTGAAGCTTTAAAAGACCATTGGCCTCTTGTTTTAATGCAGCTCGTGTATTCATCTTTGTCACATTGCATAAAACTTTAAAATTAAGCGGGATATGTTTTTTTCTTTGAAGTTCTTCAAAATTTTAGTGCTCGATTTTTGCCTTTTTACCTAAAGATTCATCTGGAGATATTTAATTTCCTCAAATTTGTTAAGAGCACTTCGTCCAACTCCCCCCAAAATTTTCATGTCAAGTGATAACACTATGCTTTGGTTTGGTTTTTGTGAGCTCCTTTGCTTCCCTAAACAGTGTGTGTTTTCATGCGAGCCTTATCCCACACTAATGCTCTTTTAAAAAATTTCATGTTTCTGCAAACTAGCACTTTGCTTATCCACAATCTTTTACTTTGACTTTTGCGGAGTTTTAAAGTAATGGGGATAATAATACTGAATGAATTTGTTTCACTTCCAAAAGATGACAATTTTTAAATCCTTGCCTTATTCCGCTTTCTCAGAATTCTGCTTCTTCCTAATAATTAGATGCGTAGCCATTTGCTTGGTGGGCTAATCCACAAGGCACACCCTCTAAAACTTAGCTTCACTCTGAGATCTTCCAGATAAAAGTTTTCTACCTCTTTTCTTAATTCTTCTGAAGATCAGGGATGCTAAATTATAATGTGTTATGTATCATCTCACATAATGTGAAAAGGCTTAATGTTGTGAAGTTTTGTTATCTTGGTCTCATTTTTTAATTAAGTGTCTCACTTAGAAAACCAGTGGTGTACTTTAAAGCTCTTACGTCTGTTTTAGCGTACCTCTTGGCAGGTGTTTTAAAATTGAAATTCACTTCTAGCACTTTCACTTGGTGGAGGTGGCCATATAAAATTAAGGAACATGAAACAATTTAGGGGGAAGTATCTTTAAGGAGCAATTCACGAATTATGCTTGAAATCATTAGATAACATTTCCTGAGTACCTTTTGTATGGACAGCTCTTTGCATTAAGGTGTTATAGTCAGTATAACTCAAAAGTGTTTAATTTTCTATTTTACTGAGCCTTAAAAATAGCATTTGTGAGCTTGTGATACTTAATGTTTGGCAATCATAATATGTACAGAAGAACATGATTGAAAATCTCGTTGTAGCTGTCATCTGGTCTAAAGGATTTTGTATCTCTTATTTCCCCCAGAAAATATTAAATTTAAAGCTGTAAGTTAAGAGTATACCACTGGGTAACAGCCATCAATTTGAGCTTTATGCATCATTATTCATAAACCTTGCCTTCCTTTTTTAAGTATTTCAGGGGCCAAACTTGATATTTGCTTACTGGAATTTTAGTGATGTCTATTCATGCAACAAATATTTATTGAGTAATTTATAATGTACCAGGCATATATTGATGTGTTTCCCAACATAAATTTCTGTCACTTTAAAATTGAGAATACTTTATCTACATTTGATTTTAATTTAACAAATGGAAGGAAGTACAACCTGATATTTTATAAAATTAAAACTCATTTTAAGTGTTTTTGTTTGCATATTTAAGCTTATGCTGTGATAACAAGTGTCAGACATTTATTCAGGAGATCTTGTTTTATTTCTAATTTACATATTAACTAGGTTGTGCATTCCTCAGTTAATCACTGATAGATCACTCTCAATAATGACTTTTTAACTTAATCATCTGCTGAAATTCAGCACTAGGATTTTAATGTTTTGATCATGGGAAATTCAAGATGAAGCACTATTTGCAGACCATTTGATTTAATTATTGGGAATTAAAAACCTAAACGTACTTATTGTGAACTCAAGCTTCTAAGCCTCAAAAGAACTTAAAGATTTTTTTAATTGCACTTATTATACTCTGGAAATTAATTTATTAGTGTATGTAAATTCTAATCTTGAGAATTTTGTAAACCTTGCAGCAGGATTAAAATGAATTTTTTCTTAAATTTGCACTTGAGCAGAGTGAAACCCTTCTTCCTATTCATTCAGTTTTTGACTGCCATACAAGAGTTTGTTTTCTTTTTTTAATTAAAATAAGGATAGTTTACATTAGTAGCAGAATGACTGAAGATTGTGCTTTCCGATCCCCTACTCTTCCCTTCCCTTACTCTTCTTTCCCTTAGCCGTCTTTGGATTTGTAGATTAGATACAGGGCCATCAAGATACACTTCTGGATAGAGTGATTTCAGAAGTTCAAATGTATCTCTCTGGGAATTTTGTGATATGATAGCCCTGTGAAGACATCAGTGTGGTACATCTTCTGTGAATGGTTCATGGTTGATTTCTTAATTGATTCCCATGGATGGATAATGAGCACAGTCATGTGGTATCTTGGAAAGTTTGGGGGCTGGTCAGCTTGACCCTGTTGACAAAAACTAATACAGTCACGCCACTTGATTATTCCATGAAGTTCAATTCCCAGCAAAGTCATAATCAGGAATGAATTAACGCTGTATTACTTACCTATACATGCCTCTAAATACCCAGACCTAACTTGCATTTGTAGCTTATTCTTTCCATCTTGTGTAGGCATTAAAACATGAATGTTGCAAGTTATCCTAACTGAACAGTTTTCTATGTCCTTTTTGAAAAAGTTGAATGGGGAGTATACAGAATTAGCAGAGT